GAGTCTGTATCTGTTGGTGTCTTTTGTTCAATATGGTTTATGTAATTCATATTTTTGCATATATCTAATTCATTTTCATCGCTGCGGAATAGCCCATTGTATGAATACATCACCATGAAACTATTCTAAAGAAAATATATTCTGCTGATAATAGCTGTTGGGATTGTTTCCAATTTTGGGCTATTAGGTGCTGTGATTAACATTCTTGTGTGTATTTAGAAAGAAGGCAAGGGCAGGGCACAGTGGCTCACGCCTGTAATCCCAACAGTTTGGGAGGCCGAGGCGGGAGGATCCACAGAGGTCAGGAGGTTGAGACCAGCCTGGCCAACATGATGAAACCCCGGTGTCTACTAAAAACACAAAAAATTTAGCCGTGCGTGGTGGCGGGCGCTTGTACTCTCAGCTACTCAGGAGGCTGAGTCAGGGAATCCTTTGAACCTGGGAGGTGGAAGTTGCAGTGAGCCGAGATCGCGCCACTGTAATCTACCCTGGGCGGCAAGAGCAAACCTCCGTCTGAAAAAAAAAAAAAAAGGGCTAGGCGCAGTGACTCATGCCTGTAATCCTAGCACTTTGGGAGGCCGAGGCGGTGGGATCACGAGGTCAGGAGATGGAGATCATCCTGGCTAACACGGTGAAACCCCATTTCTACTAAAAATACGAACAATTTGCCGGGATTGGTGGCGGGCGCCTGTAGTCCCAGCTACTCGGGAGGCTGAGGCAGGAGAATGGCATGACCCTGGAGGCGGAGCTTGCAGTGAGCCGAGATCTCGCCACTGCACTCCCGCCTGGGCAACAGAGCCAGACTATATCTCAAAAAAAAAAAAAAAAAAAAAAAGATAAGGCAAATATTGGTTGGGCGCCTAGGCTCACGCCTGTATTCCCACATTTTGGTGAGGCTGAGGCAGGAGGATCGCTTGAGTCAGAAATTCGAGAATTTTAGGCTAGACTGGACAAAGTAATGAGACTCCCCTTCCCCCCAGCCTCTCTATAAAAGAATTTTTCAAAAAATTAGCTGGGCAGCCCACATCTGTAGTCCTAACCAGAGACTAGGGTGGGAGGATCGCTTCAGCCCAGGAATTAGAGGCTGTGGTGAACCCTGATTGGACCACTGCACTCCAGCCAGAGACAGAGGGAGACCCTGTCTCGAAATTTTAAAAAGTGACAAAATGTTAATTGAATCTAGGTGAAAGTTATAGGCGTTCTTTTGCAGTACTCTCTCAGCATTCTTGTAGGTTTGAAATTTTTTTAAAAAAAAAAGTTTAGATCCTCTTATCTATTCTGAGTTCTTTGTATTTTCTCATGTATTATATTTAGTTTTATTTATATATTTTGAGATGATCTCACTCTCTTGCCCTGGCTGGAGTGCAGTGGTGCAATCTCCCGGCTTACTGCAGCTTCAACCTCTTGGGCTGAAGCAATCCTCCCACCTCAGCCTCCCAAGTAGCTGCAATTACAGGCATAGGCCACCGCATCCGGCTAATTTTTGTATTTTTTGTACGGAGGGAGTTTCACCATCTTGTCCAGGCTGGTCTCCTGAGCTCAAGTGATCTGCCCACCTCGGCCTCCCAAAATGTTGGGATTATAGGTGTGAGCCAACGTGCTGGGCTACTATTTTGCTTTTCTAAGTATGATGGGGGCTGAAAAGTTCTATAGTCTGACAGTTTAAGGAAGTTTTCTGTCCTGATTTGCTAAGAGTTTTGATCATGAATAGATTTGAATGTTTTTTACAGCTTTCTCCAAACCGAGATAATTACATTATTTTATCCTTCCTTTGTTGTGCTAATGAATAATTTACATCATTAGATTTTCATGTAATACTATTTGTATTCCTAAAATAGACCTAAACTTGGCCGGACGCAGTGACTCATGCTTGTAATACTAGCACTTTGGGAGGCCGAGGCAGGCGGATCGCGAGGTCAGGAGTTAGAGACTAGCCTGGCCAACATAGTGAAACCTCATCTCTACTAAAATACAAAAATTATCTGGGTGTGGTGGCACGTGCCTGTAATCCCAGCTACTTGGGAGGCTGAGGCAGGAGAATCACTTGAACCAGGAAGTCAGAGGTTGCAGTGAGCTGAGATCGTGCCACAGCACTCCAGCCTGGTGACAGAGCAAGACTCTGTCTCAAACAAACAAACAAAAAAACCTAAACTCATCTGTGTTGATTATGTTTTTAAAATATTGGATCTGGCTGGGTGTGGTGGCTCATGCCTGTAATCCCAGCATTTTGGGAGGCCAAGGCGGGCAGATCACAAGGTCAGAAGTTTGAGACCAGCCTGGCAAACATGGTGAAACCCCATCTCTACTAAGAACACAAAATTAGCAGAATGAGGTGGCACATGCCTGTAATCCCAACTACTCTGGAGTCTGAGGCAGGAG